TCAAGGTTCCTTTCCTCGGGTGATACACCCCGTGATGTGGGATGTACCAGAGTTTCCCATCAGTACGATTCAGTTGATCCTCTGGTATCCTTTCCGCATAGCCGTTGTTAACCATTTCTTTGAGAAAAGTTGTATATTCTTCGCGAAACATCTAATTTTTAACAAACTTGCGTTTCAGGCTTTGGATGCGTTGCTCTGCTATGCAACGGTTGCTTGGCATACGGGGATTTTCTTGCTTGAAAGGTAAGTCTATGCAATAGTGACCATCTGTAATTTTTGATGAGTGATTCCCGATAAAGGAATTTTATCTCTTCTCTGGACATTTCCTCTGTTTCTTTGCTGGTTTCTTCATTGTAGTCGGGATGGTATGTTTTAACCAGTAGCTCCTCTAAGTTCACGATGGACAGTCGGTTTTACAGCAGCAGCAGGGCAGCCATTCTCATCCCTGCTGTTGTCTCCTCTCAAAGGACCATAGACGACCCACCCCAAATAGGGTCCTCACAGCGTATGGTCCATTGGCTTGGCTATTGACCACCTCCCAAGGTTCCAATACCTTAGAAGCATTTGTGCCTATGAGCAGGTCAATGCCAGAATCTATTTCATGAATCTTGACGTCCTTCAAGTAAGGCCATTGATTCAGGTCTTCTTGTCTGAGAATGTTGAGCTTGGAAACAGGCATGATCTTGTGTGTAAATACATTGGGCAGTTGTATGAAATCAGTTTTGTCCAGACTTGATATCTCTAAACCTGGGATATGATGACTAGTCACAGGTTTCTCTTGATTCATTGTACGCAAAAGAATACTAGTCTTTTGTCCTGTTACATTCAGTCTTCTCATCAGGCTTTCTGTGCAGAAGGTGGCTGAGCTTCCATGGTCCAAAAACACATTCGTCTGCAACAGTGTCTCCCTTGGGGGTCTTCACTTGTACTGGAACAATAGAGAAGAGACATGAGATATGAGGTGAGAGAACAGCATTGCTCCCAATTGATTTTCCATCCAATTCTGTTTTCCTTCCTATGTCTCTTTGTTCAATCTGAAGTATTTCAGGATGATTTTTGTTGCAGATGTCACAAGTCAAACGACTATTGCAGTCTTTGTTCATTTGTCCTACTATCAAACAGCCAAAACAGACTCCCCTTTTCCTTAAGAAGTCGATTTTTTCCCTGTGCATCTTTTTCCTGATTTGTGGACACCGCACCAATGTGTGCCATCTCTCTCACAGAACAAACAGGAATTTTGAGGGTTAGTGACAGATACATTTTTCATTCCACTCGTCATTTTTTCTTGTATTGGCATTTCCACAGGTGTTGCAGTAGTTTCAAAACTGCTTCCTCTTGGTCTCGGCCTATCTCTTGCTGTGACATAGGTTTTGACAGATGTAGTTGTCTTAGCATCCTGGATGTTCCCAAAAAGTGGATCCGACAATATCTTCACTTGTCTCTCCATGAAGTCTACCAAGTCAGAGAAACTAGCTCGACATCCATGTTGTTCCTGGAGCTGACATGCCCTATTCCTCCACTTGTCTCTGAGCTTGTAAGGCAGTTTCAGAAGAATGGTCTTCATACTGGGAGCAACGTTCAACTCCTCCATATAGGTGAGCTGTTCCATTGCATTGCAACAACCTCTCGGGAATAATGAAAACGCTTGCAATGCTTTCACGTCCTCTGGCTTGATCGCTGGCCAGGCAAATGCTTTGTCCATGTATGCTGTAGCAATCTCATGTTCGCTACCAAAATGTTCTTTATGCAGCTCCTTTGCCCTTTTATAGCCCTCAGCCGAAGACGAATGTTGACAGCTGTGGACTAAATCTTTTGGATACCCTCTGGTATATTGCTCTAGGAAATGCAGGCAGTCGCTGTAGTCATCAGTCTTTCTTTCCACTCCTCTCTCGAATGCCCTGATGAAAACTCCATATTGCAAGGGATCACCATCATAAACGGGAATGTCTCTCGGTGGTAAAGTAGAAGAGAGATTGTGTTGAGCTAGAAGAGAGGTTATGTCACTTTGCTTCTGAATGATGTGATAGATATCACCTTGATTATGATCATTATATCCAGGTTGTGTTAGAGGAGTCATATCCTGAGCTCTAACAGATGGTCCATCAGCGCTTTCCTTTGGCTGAACAACCTGTTGCTGGGAAGATGATTCTGTTCCTGTCCGCACATTCAGTCTTTGTTGCACTTGATCGGGAAAATAGGTGTTTGCATGTGGATTTTCTTTGACTGACCTTTTCCATTGAACAGTTCCTTTTTCCAAATAAGAGTTCATTCCGTCTGACACTCTTGAGCTATTTCTTGATTCAAGTACATTGATTTTTGCATTGGTTGCTGCCAGTTCAGTCTCTAGTTCCAGTTGTTCTTCCTGCCTTTTCAGTTGTTCTTCCTGCCTTTTCAGTTGTTCTTCCTGAGCCTCCAGGTCGTGCATTTTCTGCAGAGCGGCGACCCGTTCCATGAGAGCAGCCTTTTCTGCATGAGCTTTAATGCGAGCAGAGGATGTTGAAGAGGCACGTGATGAAGAACTTGATTTGTTGCTTGATTTGGGTTTTGACACATTAGAAATACTGTCATCAGGTCCAATGTCATCTGTGATTATATTTTCGGCAATGGTATGCGTTGCATGCCATCCAACCTCTGAAAACCACACATTTACATCCTGTATAAAACCATCAAAAATTGTCATTTTTTGTTGAAACCAGTGATTTTGCTTTTCAAGTTCACTTTCAGGCAATGGTAACTTCACCAATGACTCATGACTTCTTTTGGCATCATTACAGAGGTTGATTAATGTAACCAAGTTAGATTGCACTTCATTTGCATTCCCTTTTGATTTCATGAGCTCTTTCTGAAACTCCATTGACTTCTTAGCTTGCTTACATTTCAAGTTTCTTGCTTTCTGACAGTTTTCAATGAACATTTCCAAACCTTTTTCAGTGTGTCTAGTAACCCTTTTTCCTTTTTCAGAATCCAGTGCAACATTGCCATCTTGTGACCGAACGTCAGACTTGACTAAGGACATATTTGTTTCGCTCTAAGTGATCCAGTAAACCGCACTGAAGGCAGAATGCGTCGAGCAGCTTATATTGTATTGAGAGTCAACGAGATTCTGTGTTGCGGTTTCTGGTCCTATAGCTTTTCCAATAAAGCTTAGCTTTGCACGTACCTCCTCCGTGGCTCCTTGTTGTTTGGAGTTTCCGATCTCCTTCCATCAGCTCGCACAGGTGGCGTCAATCTTCCGTGGATTGGGCCGGCCCCGTCTGCCCCGGCAATCCTTATCCAGTTCCAATACTTTCACCGGCTCAATTTTCACTCATAGAGCGCAGTTCTCACTTAATGTAATGGCAATCTTAGGTTTGCTGCCCCTTTAGCTGGCTCGTTGTTGTTGTTCTTTGCCATCAGGCACAGGTGGGAGTGATGTTTCGACGCAGACACACAAAAGATTTTCCAGCTGATGATTGTGGTTGAGGTTTGTAGTTTATTGCAGGCAATTGTATAAACAGATGAAGATACCGGTTGAACGTGCTCCTATTGATGGTGGTCTGTCTTCGTGGTCTGGTGAGAAGTGTCTGGTGCTCCCCTACCTGTGCCCTCGCTTCCTGTCACCTACGTCCCTTATGTACACCCATGTGCACCTAATCACCACCACCTAGTGTGCAAAGTGTCAATATAAATACAGTCTAACAAACAAAATATACTTTGCCAACTATTGCTATTGCTGGATGATGGATAACCTACAAGCTGGATAGTTCCACCATGCTTAAATGTTACATGGTCACAGAAAACTGGCACTGGGCCGGTGGCTGTGTGGTGCGTTCGTCCACCTTACTCCCCACCGCTAACTAGCCGGCTATCCTGGCAAGCAGCTTTACTGACATATTATCACCATAACGAAGTTAAATGATCACAGGAAAAGAATGTTCAATGCCCATTCTATTTGTATTCTATTTCTATGCTACAGTCACCACAAAATCTAATTGTGTAGAGAGAGTAAGCGGAAGACAAAGCCAGGAACTGGTGCATGGAGGCAAATTGATGAGGGGTCTGCCCAGACAATGCTCCAGCTTGACAATAAAAATGATAATTAGATACAAGACGGTGCACTTAAGAGAGCGGTAAGCCAGCTGGCGTGAGCAGTCGGAGAGCATTCTTAAAACAAGGCAAGAGGATGACAGTAAGAACACAAACGTGCACCTTCTGGGCAAATAACAGTAAAAGGGCTTTGTGTCGCAGATATTTGTGGGTCTCTGACAAAGCGTCTGTGCTGCCCGACACCCAACACATCAGCGTAGGAGGCTTCTGCACGCTAGTGTTGTGGAAGGAGGACTTGTTCTTCTTTGGCAAGTCATCAAATCACACACTGGGGCTCACAGGTCACAATCTGTCCTGCTCCGTACCTCATGTTTTGCCTTTGTTTCATCTCATTTCGTTCAGTCATGTTAAGTGTTTCCTGTTTTATGTTTGACAAAGTGTTCTACGTTCACGACATCAAACCCAAACCAAAGCCATGACTGGCTGTGACAAACGGATGATTGTGTAAGAAGTGTAAGCCCAATTGAACTCTCAGCAGTGCAGCCTCCACGTTCTTCTTTTGCCGTTTTTCGTAAAGTTGTGCAAAGAAAGTATCTTTTAGAGATTGTTTTCTGTACCATCTGTTAACATGGCGACATATTTTCATGCAGAACACGCGCGTCTTTCAGTTAATGAATAACCATATTCATTGTGTGACTGTTTCTTGGTGAAGGTCAGTGCTCAAGCGGATTATCCAGGAGTTGGAACTTATTGGTCGAGAGTAGCATTCAATTGGAGTTTTTCAAGGGGGATGAACAGTTTTGCACTGTGTGTCGTTCCTCTTGGTTTCTCCAGCCATCACAGTGCAAAGTCACCTGACTACTGCAGTCTAAAAACATAAAAAACCTTGGGTTTTTATGTTTGCAGTTAAAAAACCTTGGGTTTTTATGTTTTTATGGGTTCTTGGGTTTTTAAATAAAACGACCAATACAGTGTAATGTCTTATCCAAATATTTAATTGGATTGGTTTTGAGATATGAACAAATATCTGTGGCATGCATTTTCATTTTCAGCCTTTTTTACAAGAGCATTTGAAAAGGAAATTCCAAGTTATAAATTTAAAGTAAAAGGTCATGATGTATACAGTACCAATCAATTTAATTTAATTCAATGACAAAGTGTGTCCAAAACATTAACTACTGTTTGAAAACGTCTAAGTCTTAAACATGCTTAAACATTGTGCTTTTTGTCAAATTTGCAAGGCAACATCTTTGGGGAAAGATATTTTCAAACATTACGTCAACAAGAAACCGTAAAACTTACATTTACAGAGATAAAGAGTTTATCTGGGGTGGTTACTTTTTCGAAAAACATCACACATTCATTAATCTCTTCCTCCAGACCACATACTTCAAGGCCTTTTGAGGCGAGCCCGTATGCAGATTCACCATCTGCACTCAAGCTGTAAGAACTGCAACACACCAGAATGAATAGTGCGGCTCTTTAGTGTTTCACAGGCTGCGGTGAATGTAAATACATGCAGTACACAATATGAATTACATCAGCTAGTCAAATATATCTTAATTTAGATACTGTCTTTGCAGTACGCATTTTCTGTTTCCTGTGTTTAATCTGATGAGCCAGCAAGTTGTTGTACTTTTCTTAACGAACAATCCATGAAATGTAACAACAACATTAAATCAGTCGCTGGCTGGACCGGAAGTGGATGCATAATTTTCCTCTGACTCTCCTACAGCGGGAGGTATGGCTCGATTTTCTCCTTGCTGTTAATAGAAATTGAAACAAATTTGACAAAATGAGCAGTAACCCTAAAATATGTATTGGGACCCCTTCATTTTTACACATTTTGATATGTCGCAGAAACAGGGGAGCTGTGTTCCAGGAGGACTCCAAATAATTTCTCCCTATAAGAGTACAACGGTCTGAGAGCGAATACAGATTCAGGCCAAATACCACAGTTGGGGAGTTATAAGAACTCAAATCAGCCTGAGAAGACAGTGTAACCTCTGGTGGTACGTACCAGGCTGTGGAGGCTCTGAGAGGAGACGCTGTCATCGCTGTTGCCTGGTTCGCGTCGAGTCGAGTCCAGAAGTTCATCTGTTCCCTGGTCTGACTTGAGAGGGAGCGCCGTCCTCAAGGCCATCCTGTACAAACAAGCATGAACACGAAATACTCTCTTTTGACGAGAGAGAACAGAAGCGCTTCACCTTTTGCTGAATGATTTATATGTAACGTTTTTTTTCTGAATTCAGTGTTGAATGATAGAGGCTTGTTCGTCTATGTGAATAAATACGCAGCGACCGCAATTGTGGGTGTGTGGATCCGTTTGCAATTATTTTTTTTTATCACCTAAACTCCTGGACGGGGAGGTTGCCGCTCTCAGGGTCGTCGGAGTTGATCGGGTCTTTAAGGCGGTCGGAACGACTCTGTCTATGAAACAAACTCTCCTCCATCTGAAAAACAACAAACAGCTTTTTAATGGAAACAGTGGCAGAAAATGCTTGTTGGCCTTCATGCCACGGGCTATGGGAGAAGTTCTATTCTACTCTGGTATTTAGCTTAGCCCAAGAAATGAAACACGGGTAACAGCTAAAGTCACTCACTATTTGTTTCTATTAACTCCAAACAAATTCTAGGGATATAATGAACAATTAGTAAACTGGTAAGCCGGTCTTTGTTTAAAAAGTAAAGAGTCCCCTGTTCGGCTTTATGCTAAGCTAAGGCAGGCTGAGCTGGCTGTGTTCCCTTGCATTTAGGGAGTGGCAACAAACTATTTAGCTTCCAATTTGGACACACAACTCAATAGCTGTTGAATAATGGGTGTTATGAAGTAGGCTACCTGCACGGTAACGAGGTCCTGGGTCTCCATCTGCATGCTGCCTCTTTTATGGAGCTGCAGCAAGGTGTCATACTCACTCTTCAACTGGTCAAAGTCGCCCTGCAGCCTCTTCAACTGGACAGGCCAGAAAACACGAACAAAAACACCACGCTAGGGACTGTTAGACTTGGAAATTGTGCATTCTGTGTATGTGTACGTGGAGGTGTGCTCAGCGTGTATGGTGTATTGCGTCTGTATGTGGCCACCTGTAGGAGGTTCTGTTTGTGTGTTTGTTCCAGGGTGTCCCAGTTGCGTTTCGGCACGACATCCCAATAGTCTGCCTTCATCCTGTTGAGCTCCTCCTGGACTTGAGTCAGGTCTTTCCGACACACATTCAGAGCGAGCTGCAGCTCCACAGGGTCCTTGGCCACTTCTTTCACAATGGAAGGAATAACAGAACAAAATAAGATGTATATGCATCAAATTGCAAAATGTAGGTGGGAATATATTCATAAAATCCTAAAATTTAAATTTAAATTTTACGTGACATGCTTTCTTCCAGATTGTGTCATGAAATCCAGAACGTACTTTCACTGCCGGTACTACCACACCTCATTTTTGAATGGATAAAACAGACTGAATAAAATGTTTTGATTAATGACCTTAACATATGCTCGTAGGTGGGGCTTCTAACTTTGGACAAAGTCAGGGTTGCTGTTCCCTGTTTCCAGTACTGGAGCTAAGCTGAGATAAATGACTGTAAGAAAGTGCAAAACTATTATTCAGAGCGCAAAGTGCAAATCAGTGGGCAACGTTTTCAATGAGAAATACTATCTGCAACTGACAATCATTTTCATTATTGATTCATGTGTATTTTATTAGAAAATTACATACACATTAATCAATAATTAATAATTTGATGAGATAAATGTCAGAAACTGGTCAAATGTGCACATCACATCCCAAGTGAAGTCTTTAAATAACTGGTTTTCTGCAATGTAAAAACCAAACTTATCCAGTTTACAATCCTAAAACCTAATAAAACCTGGAAATATTCAATTTTCAAAAGCCTGTAACAGTATTTAAAAACAAAATAACTTAATTGAATTTTCTTCTAATTAGTTTTTAGTGGATGGACTGACTGCAGTTCTACCTGTGTTTTCATCGCTGGGACGGTCCCCATTCACGGAGCCTCTTGTTAGATGATTAAGCTGACAGATCAGCAGTTGCCGAGCATCCCGCTCCTCCCTGTACTGCAGATACTGGTTGGACAGTTCAGACCGCAGGCGGTCCACCTGGAAAGAATAGAAGTGGCCTTATTATCCCGCTGAACCTCAAACGAAGCTTTTGGGATTATAAAAAAAGGAACTTTAATGGATTTAGCATGTATAGCGCGTACCACTGCCTGCATGTCCTTTTCCTTCTCCCTGCTGGCCTCAACGTCCCTCTGCAGTTGCTGCTTCTCCCTTTTCAAGACTCCAATCTCAGCCTGCTCCTCTGCCCAGCGAGCTTGAATCCTCCTGTCACAATCCTCTGTCACCAACCTCAGATGGGATCGGAGGGGCATCAGTTCTTGAATTTTATTTTGCTGATATGCTGAACGGATAAAAAAAGCATTAAAATGGTCTATTGTGAAACTCGCAGACTGAAACAATTACTCAAATGAAATGAAAAACGATTGAGCAATCTGGAGACATCAATCACGTCAAGTATCTGGGACGATGTGATGGGGACTTGCCAATGTGTTTTAAAAACTTTTACAAAGTTAATTAGAAAATAAAGACTTTGGACAAGTCTTAAAACTGTGAGATTGGCATTTTGTAATATTTGTGCCAATGACTGATAAACTCAAACACTTCAAATCGAAAATATGGTTGTCACTTTTTATTTTGATGCAGATTCAAAATAATTAAATCTTTTCTATAAATAAATAGCACACAAGCTGATTGTGCAAGTTAGATTAATGCTCTGTGTGTGTTTCTGAAAGATCTGATGTTCTATGTATGTTCCCAATTTCTAACTTTTTAAACTTTTTTAGCAAAACTCACATGGCACCTTAATGTCTGCCTGGTATTAACTTCACCTCGATCAAATCCAATTATTATTAAGAAATTAAAATGCTCTGACCTAAAGTGTTTTCATATTCCTTTTTGATGGCAGCAAGAAGCGGTTGGTAGGTTTTGAACTCTTTGATGAAGCAACCAAAGACATCACGGTAGACCTGTAGCCAGATCAAGACATGTGAGTATCCCCTCTAACTGTGTATTGAATTTGTTTTTGTAAAAAAACAACAACCACAAAACACAACATAGCACCTGTAGTTTCAGTTCCTGGAATTTTGGCTCATGGGAGCTGATCGTATGGAGCTCCTTGTTCACGTAGCTTTCCATGTGCATCAGGAGTTGAGGCTTCCTCCCTGGGCCTGAATAAATGTAACTGCTACCTTTCGAGCTAAACTAGAGGGCGCGACCCATGCACACACACACACACACACACACACACACACACACACACACGCACACGCACAGACACAGCTTTGTTAGTGCTTCAATCATACAGTATTTGCAGCCAGCATATAATAGTCCACTTGATCTGTTCATTATTCATTAACATGAAGTAGGCTATCCGCCAGGTTCAATGATTACCTAACTTAGTTACCTGGTTTTCTTACCTCTGTCACTGCAGGTTGAACAGCCCCGGCACTTTCTCCTTCTTGTCCTTCCACAGATGTCTGGACAATGTCATTTTGTAGTCTATGCTCATATGTCAGTCTAAAAAAAAAGATACATTGAACCCTGTAGTTTAGTTAACGCAAACTGTAGTAACGTTAGCCCTTTTGGTTTGGTAACAAGCTAGTGAATTACAAATAATATAATAACTGTTATATTTTTGACATATGGAAAGTTAGTAAGTAAGTAAGTTTAATACGTTTACAAAGCTGCAATGTTTCTATATTTCGTTATTCCAATAATATCCCAGGTTTACTACATAGAATTGAAAAAACAGGCATTAACTTGACTTGCCTTTCTTTTTGTGATAGTGTTAATGGTGGACGTTTTATATCCTTATTAAATGACATCTCTAGCGACTTTGTTGAGGCTGGATAACATAATAACCCCTTGGCCTGTTGATATTGTTGAATATGACTAGCTCCAAGTTGACATTAGCATCGGAAAAATCACAACACTGCAACATGGTTTCCATGGTAACAAGGACTGACCACGCAGCAGGACCCTCGCAGTTGACCGCGGCGCGCCTAACTAGTATTCACATTTTGTAAGAGGAAAACATTCCTTTTGAAAGGAATTCACGTAGACTTTCTCCAACCATGGAAAACAATTTGTTTAGGAATGCTTCTATACAGCTGTCAACTCTGACGTTTACCAATGACAGAAATTTGACAGAAAAAAGTATTTCATATCAACTGCACCTTTCAGAATGCCACAGTATAATAGGCCTAATATCCTAAAGATAAAAAACACACACGAACCAAATCATTTAAAAACGTTTGAGACACATTTAGAGACAAAAACACACTTCTTTCTGTTGTTCTGGAGAAAATAATACCTTCGTCAATTGGTGTCCATGCATAGCAAAGCTTTAGATGCTCCACATTCTCATGTAACACATATGCTAACAATTGGGGATGTAGTTAAAATGATATATCGTTAACGTTCTTAAAAAACGTTCCATAAATGTAACTGCTGAAAAACTACATTTCCTAGCTGTCTCTCTCATTGAAAGCCCTTAACCAAGATAACAGCGGCGGAACTGTGTGTAGTCCTTTCCAGAGACGGCCACACTAAAGCCAGTGTGCTGCGGAACGACATTACCCAGAAGCCCCTGCTCCAGCCTACAGTTCACGCTGCTGCTTATCCGGGGATGTCACACCGCTGCTATTTTCTCCCCTCAGTCCCTCTCACTCTCAGCTTACAGCTCAAGCGCACTGACACGGGGCTTTGGATAGAAAGAAAAGGACAATACGATACACAACCGGGGCGAACATGGCAGAGCTCGCAGCGGGAAGCCTGCCGTCAGGAGATCCTGCTTTTAACTACCAGGAACACGAGCTGAACGAGCGGTTGAAGCGCCTCTACCCGGCTGTGAACGAGGAAGAGACCCCGTTGCCCCGATCCTGGAGCCCCAAGGATAAATACAGCTACATTGGGCTGTCACAGAACAACCTGCGGGTCCATTACAAAGGTTAGAGAGCTAGCTAAGTCCCGATGGTCCGAGCAAGTAGCCACAACAGCTAAGAGGGTCTCAGCTCAAATCTGTCAATGTGCTGTTGGAGAGGGGGGGGGTCTCTTTCACTCACATACAGTATGCGATTATGTTGATTGTGTGTGTGTGTGCGTGCGTGCGTGGATGCGCACTCCTGTTAAATCTAGTCTGAGCTGCCTCTCCTGTAACCTTGCTTTGTGTCACAAATGAGCAGAGGAATGCCCAAAGTGGGGGACAGTGAACTTGCTAACCCTGACAGTTGGTGTCACCCCCCTCCGCCCCCCACGCTGAAATTCACCTTCAACAACAAGACTCCTCTTTTTGTTTATGTGCCGTTCGTGACGTTATTTGTCCGCAGTGAAGTGTGCGTCGGACGTCCTCCACAGTTCGTACCGGACGGGGGGACACTGGCAGCAGCAGCGACGCATCGAGCTTAGCGAACTAATGGTATTTAACAAACAGGAGGCAGCTAACAGCTAACCGCTACCTCCTGAGCAGACACAGCAGTTAGCCCCGTGGCTAACGTCAGCTAACCGAGCTGTATTGGTCTTAAACAGCAGCACACGCTGGCTACAATGTGGAAACGGGTCAAACTTGTTGTCAACACATTACGACGCAGCTCTGGGCAAAGCTGCGGTGGTTTAGTTTTTTTTTTTTTTCTTCTAAGCGAGCCACCAAAAAGAGAAGGGGGAAAATGGCATTGTTTTGTTTCTCGCGTGATCTCAGTGGCGTTGTTCGAGAAGTCTTTTCCAGAATTGGTAAAAAATTTTTTTTGCCAAAGCCTGGAAGAAATCGGGTCCAACCGTTGAGGACGGTGCATGTGCCCTGAGCTCAACAACGGTCTCGCGTCCAGCCTCCAGCGGGCAGCCAGCTCGCTTCCAACAGCTGCTGCGAGGGAGGAGGCCTGTGCGCGTTGCATTAGGCCAAATCTCCCCATCTCGTAATCAATCGGTGGGTATCGTGTCAGATTTGGGCATTTCCACAACGAGGGCAGCTCTAACGTTGCCCGTCAGGCGGCTCAATCGATCATTTATTCAGATAATCTAAACGCCGTGAGTTATAGGCCCGCCAGGCCCATCAACTGGATTAAAACACAAAATACACACGTCTTTCTAACTCCCAGATCAAAACAAGGTGGCTCTTATGAGAAGTCCTGTTCACAGCCCTTTGCCTGCCCTGTTGTTTTTTTTCCTACTAGCTCGCTCTGCATCTCAGGCAAAGTCAAATCCCCACAGAGGCACGGTGAGGCCTGCTGGCTGTTTACATCAGTGGAACATACAGAGGATGAGAGGATACAGGCCAGGCTATGAAACCCATTTTTGGAAAGCTTCTTTGGCACGAACGTAGTGACGGTCCTGCGGTTGGAGAAAGACTGGGAAGGCCTTTTTTATTTTATTGCTTCAAATCAAGACTCTCAGGCCGATTTGCCAGATATAACCCACAAATTACTGGATGCATAATGCATCAGATCCCTGCTGTTGAATTTAATATAAGCCTGCGTTCAGTTTTATCAGTCGAGTAGATATTTTGGCCGCTGCTTTGATATGTGTTGAGGATGTGACAAATCGAGGTGTGGCATAGTTATTTTTTCCACGAGCCTTCCATTTTCATCAGTACTATTGAGACCTAGGCCGTCTATCTCGTGTTTCCCTAGCACTCGTCACCGCTGTGGCATTGGCACGGAATGATGAATGGAGCCGTGAATGTCTGCAGATAAGATGTGTCATGTCATGTTGCGGTTATTTCCGTCGGTCATTGAGTCTTTATGTCCATGAGAAATGCCCAGATTAAGTGACACTGCACAATTGTTCTGGGCTGCTGGTATAAATAGGTCTATTCTGGAGCGTGCAGGATCATTTCTCTCTCGGTAGTTTTAGCTCCTGCTCTGTTCCCTCACCCTCGTGGTTTGAATGCTATTTTGACCAGTGTGCCAATTTTTCTCTGTTCAAGGCCACACGGTGTCGACGTGGTCCTGCTGTGCACAGAGAGATTTGTTTATCCAATTCTAATAGGTACATAAATTGACACATAAACAAACATACTGACTCAGTGGAAAATCACTAATGAGGAAGTCTCATTTACAAAAAAGTGTAGGCCCTCTGGCCCATGAAGGATTTCTCTACTTTATTCTGGTCAATGAGATTTCCTCTGTACGTGTGTGTGTGCATATAGTGTTGTCTGTGCCTCTTGTAAGAAGTGATGAATGAATATATAACTAATTGAAAGTTAAATTCCATCCTGTGCGTCTCTTTTCATCGCCCTCCACAATGACCGATGTTTAGGGACTAAATCGGAATGAAAATTTAAAAAGGAACGTGAATAAAAACATGAATAGGTTTTTGTGTAGCTTCATGCTGGAGAAACTGGCCTGGCACGGGAACTTTCTGGAGTCTCCGCTGCTTGCCTCCATGAAGCAAGAGACTGCCGGTACGATCTCCATTCTGTCCAGGGTAAACATGGCAGCCACGCTAAGGAGAAAAAACAACAACAACACACATGGCTTTTTGACACTGCTGTCTGAGTCGCTAATGTTGGTTCATTAAATGAATGAATCATTAAATGTATTTTGAGATAAAACCTATTCTAACATTGCCTGGGAACAAGACAAACCCTGTTCTTTCATTCTTAATGTCTAAACAACCAAGATGGCGGCTGACGTGGAACTTTTCTGTTGAAGCTCCCGTGGGGTCAAAATTAGAACAAAGTGGACGGTATAGTTCTTGCTAAAAGAAGAGAAAATCACCTTCAATTCTCAAGCTTTTATCTAAGTCCTCTATCCTCATCGGTAAAACTACTGCTTGATGTGTAAGTAAGATATTGTTTGCTAACAACTCTTTAGGATCAGTCATATGCAAATGTATTTTTGATTGCAACTTGTTGCACTGCAGCCAAGGGGACCACGAAAATCAATTAATGCAGCTTAAGCTTTAGCAATTGTGTCAGCGCTTCATTCCAAAGCTGATAATTCACCTTCTCACGACGGGAACCGTCAGATGCTGACCCTGATCCAAACCACTCGGATGCAAAACCCTCCCCGCGTGATGTAGGTCACGGCCCGACAAAGCCACTACGTCCTCTTGACGAAATCTTACATGCAATCTTTAGATCCACAAAGAAGGTTGGACATCCTCCAGCCCTTGGCTGTGCCTTAAAGTTCTGTCCCTGTGCGAGGAAAAATAAATAAATCACAAGCAGAATGACCAAGCACAAAGGAGTAATCTATTGAGAAGGTGCCTGTCGAGGTGCCAAGAGCGAAGACGGAGCTTTTGGTCCAGTTATACAAGGATCTAATTTCTCATAGGAGCAGCCCCATTGGCCCATAATCCCAGAGCTATCTCATCTGGACACCTTGCACTTGTCAGGCTCAATAAACCTCTATATCACCGTCACAAGTGAAAGGTACTGCAGATACAAAAAGCAAAATGTCTGCACTGCTAGAAATCTTTGCCATCTGCTCATTAAACTGGTGTTAGCCTTTTCTTTTCTCTTCGGCTGTATCGATTTTTCATCAAGTGAGTTCTATAGGTGGGTTGGAGAGCTATGGAACCGGATTGGGATCACATGTATTTGAAGGTTGAATTTCCAAAATGCTCGCTCATTGAATGTCGCCCGAGGACTGATCCCAAGTAATCTCTGTAATTTCACCTCAGCAGTCCGACACACTAGCAGGACACTAACCCTTTAACTAGATTTTTTTTTAACTATGTTGTTTTGTTGTAAAAAGAAAAATCACAGTTTATATCACACCCACCGAGTCAGGAAGAGAGGGTCCAGGCCCCTGTGGGAATGCTCCAAGTGTGTAGGGTCATGAAATGGTTTAAAATGTCTTTTCATAGTTTGGTCTGTATTACTTATCTGTTATAATGATCTTTCTTTGCAACAGAAATGATAACGTGTCCATACCAAGCACCAGTAGCTAAACCATAGCCGCTTCAAGTACTAGTGTTGTTAACTGTCACCCACAGTGTAGTGGAATACATTTGTCAGTCGTTGGTGGTGGTGGTGGTGTTTGTTGCAACCTTTGACCCTTGACCTCTAGTGGAGAGGACTGATGTCACAGCTGAAATGTGCCGGCATGTTTTGTTTGTCTATTTCAGTTAAATTTCATATGACCGTTACAATTTGGACGGCTGGTTTAGCAACCTTTTATGAAATTGGTGTTTTTTTGTCCCTAACATTTTGAATCATCTTATTTTATGTGATTTTTTTTTTTTTTTTCCATGTTGACTTGTTTCAGAGTCTGTATTGTTGAAAGCAGCCAGTGTCCGACGCGTCTATGCAGCAGTAGGGAGACCTGCTGGCCTACTGACGACTCATTTTCACAAGAAGCAGCTAAAAATAGACTAAACCAATGTTGCTGCAACCGTCGGACCAGACAAGCGCACATGACCGTATTGTGTGTATTAATAACTCTTTGCAACTTCTAGTGCCCTTCAAATAAATATGACAATGTAAGGGAACGATTGTCTGCGATTGATCTTCCGTAAACGCTGTACCTGGTGGATGAAATATGTCAAATTGAAGTTCGTCGTTTAGCTGGAGCTTTTATCCAAAGCGACTTCATTTTTAACTCATGGTTTGACATTTTTTGCCCGGGAAGCAGTTAGGGGTTAGGTGTCTTGCTCAGGGACACTTTGACATGGGACATGGGGCAGCCAGGGTTGGAACCGCCCACCTTGCGGTTCCCTCTCCACTCCATGCGGCAGAACACAACACTTGGTTTCAGGCAACTATCATATTTTGATCATAACGTTTGACCTGTATGTACCGGCGTGTGTGTGTGTGTGTGTGTGTGTGTTAGTAGCTGTAACCTTCACACAGCTTCAAGGTATCTGCTAACAGCCAGCTGCCTCGTTAAGGGTACAGCCTTTCTACAACACACACACACACAGTTCACAATTACTTTATCAGAAAAGGCAGCGTCAGTCACCGGTGTGATTGCGTGTAAGCAAATGAGATGCACATGTTTACTGTAGGGCCTAGATTGCTGTTACACAACTCGATAGTGTCTCTCTCTCTCTCTCTCTCTCTCTCTCTCTCTCCCCACCCGAGGGATTGCGTAAGCAGACATCTGAATATAGAATGAGGGCCCGTAATGGTTCTGCTTGATTCTAATTGGTCCAGAGACCACACATTTACCCAGCACTGCATGTAAAGTCTAAGACCTGTATGCACGCATACAAATCCATGTATTGTATGTATTTTATAATGCGCTCGTGAAAAAGGTCACCTTAGCAAAAGTACAAGGTACCAGGAGTGTTTTCTGAGCTCATTGTGCGCATGACTCATCACTGGAGGGCATTTCAGGTCGCAGTGCATCAAGTGAAATTCTTTAGATGCATCTCTTCTCTGTGGATTGATATATATGGCCCAAAGAAACAAAATATGATGAGAGGAGCTTGTAGGTAAAACAAAGGCTCTCCATGGATCACATTTATCCAACGCTAAAACAAATCAGATCAGTGGAAAACAAAACGGCAATACCAGACTTGGGTCATCGCGTGTGTCCATAGGTTAGTGCCTTTCACAGCGTATGAGTTTGAAAATGTAAAAAAAAAATTTCAATAGTCCACATCCACACGTGAGGAAAAGTTTAACTGGGTCTAGCAAACCCACCTGCGGATTTCCACAATCTCAGAATTCTGTGGCATCTCATTTTTTGAGTGCTTTGGATTTGAGTTTGCAGTCTGCTTTGCCTGTGCTGGTTTTGGAATTAAACTCCGGTTTTGGGGAAACTTGTCTTGTCTGCTACAAAATCTTTCCAGACGAAGAAGCAAACACTGAAAACACATTTTCTAGAAGAGTTAACTTCTCGTATGACGTTCTGTAACGACAATGTTCATGAACGCCTTGTAATTCTCCGTCATTGTCTTGCAGGCCATGGTAAGAACCACAAGGACGCGGCGTCTGTGCGAGCCACACACCCGATCCCTGCTGCCTGCGGGATCTACTACTTTGAGGTCAAGATTGTAAGCAAAGGTCGAGACGGGTAAGCAGATCATTTTTGTTCAGACTTGATAGAGTGGGGAAGGGGCGATGTTTGGAAGTTAGCATAGCACTGGGTTGGGTACCAAAAACCGGTGCCATATTGTTTCTTTATAACTGATCTCAGAGCTTCTTTTAGGTGCCTGAGCCAATTCAAATTGTAGTTTATTTTAGTTTATTTACACTACTCCGATGACGCCGTCCTCTCAGCAGCTAACGGTAGCCTACCGCTTGTGTAGCTGCAGTAGCTAGCTAACCATCTACCTTCTATTTAGAATTATCTAAGTAACTGTTTCCCCGACCGTTATCAAAGTCTGTTTATTTGCTGCACACAGCAAATAAACAGACTTTGATAACCCACATGGGAGACACACACACACACACACACGTGCCTTGGCAATAAAAAAAAACTGTTAATTTAGTTAATCTTTTTGTTCTTTTTTTAAAAGTATTGGTTAAGCCACCGTTTAGGCAGCGGTATTTGAAAGAAAAAAACAAACAATACCCCTACTGTTCATGTGACTGTTTAAAAGAACCTTTTAGTGTTTTTGCACTTCATGTAGTCGAGGAGTTTAGACATTATTAGGCACATTTGTCCATCGCAGTTTGGATTGTTGTAGAAAATAAGCCCTTCCGCTCAGCAAGATGATTCTTTTGTAATTTGCCCACTTTATTGACTGCCTTTTTTAACTTGTGTATTTTACATCATAGAAACGAAATGTAAACCACATAAAAGGCCTCTTACCAAAAACGCATTAACTTCATGACGAGGGAACCAGAATTGCTAAAATAGAGACTCATTTCCATGTTTTAGGATTCTTGCAGCACTCCGGCAACTCGGGGGACGCGTCGGCAAGCGCTCAGAATAAATTTGGGTACGCAGAGACTGTAATCATTCAACAAAAAGACTCGTTTAATGGGTAATGTTGGGAAAAGGGGGCTGGAGTCAAATACATCAAAAGGTTCTTCCCGGTCTTTGGTCCTACGTCACTCGTCCTGTGTAGACCGAGCAGAGGACAGCGGGGAAGGGATTGAGTTACATCTTTTCAATGTGTCTTCTCTCAGGCTCTTGTTGAGAGAACAAGTCATTGTTTCATGCTGCTTCCCAGCCCTGTCAAAAGGGCTGGGCCAAAAATCCATTATTAGTATTTAGAAAGATTCTGACGGTATCCCGGCATGTGACGGTATCTGTTTTTCAGTAAACACATTAATTCATTGACCCGGAAAGGACCGCCGGCTACCCGAACAGCTGTTTGCCGCTCGCCGGCTGACTGGCTGGAGAGTTAGCTTGTTAGCGTGTTAGCTTGTTATGGCTGCTAGTGTTGCCACCGGAGGCTTGACAGTGTATTGTACACTACAGACAGACTTTGCAATGAATCGTTTTGTGATCTAACGTAACTTGTCGGATTTTCCAAAACCAAAGACCCTCTAAACGGACTCCGCTCGTCTCCTGGTCTCTCGTTGTTCCTCCTGTATCGCTCTTTTCCGTGTTTTCATGTAGCAACAGAGTTACTTGTTGTTGTGAGCTGTAACCAGCATGCAGGTCGGCAGGGTCATTTTTATAAATGTACAATTATTAGTGTTACAAACTGTTTATGTGTCACAAGCTGTCATGATGTGAAGTTTTACCCTGTTAAAGAGTCTTTGTTGTGGGTTTTTCATGGTTGTTATAACTATGACTCCATGTCGACACACGTAAGACAAGTAGCTCCGACCGCTGGGCTCCGTAGAGGCGTGTAAAAATAAATTCTGCCACCTGCCAAAGAGCAACATCAGTTGTTATGGCGTAACACCGGTATGAACGGTACGTGAGAAATTCATACTGTACGGAAATCTTATACTGGTACCGTTTGAACCGGTACACCGCCCAGCCCTACCTGTCACTATGTTTCCCCTCTGATCCGGCTGATGGGCTGCAGGTGTGGCCAATGCCAGGCGCCGATGGGTTGCCGCATGTGCACTGGGTAGTACAGACCCTCTACCCCCTCCCCCAACCTGAACCTTTGGATCTGCCCCCCTGGGTAACATTGGCCTCACCCCGCTTCACCACAACTCCCTTGCATGTGCCCTATGTGGCACGTTCACTTTTTCCGTGTTGCTATTGCACAAATTTTTCTGATGCTCAAACCAAATGAAAATGGCTGATGTGATGGAATCAATAACTGCTTAGTGTTTCCCATTACCATTATATTACTCCCCGCCCCCCCCAAATGGCACCCCTGCACTGCCTGGAAGGTCAGGTTGATTTACTTTCATTTTATTTTTAGCGTCAGATCACAACAGAAGTCCTTTATGGTTACATTTGCGTTAGAAGTATATACCTTGTTCCTTTTTATTAAACCGAATAAATAACTCATTGTATTTATCTTATTCACGCGATTGCAGCGGACGTCTGTCCCCCACTGCTCTCTAAAGACTGTAAACCAAGGGACACAACGACTAAATTATACCAAGCTATTGTTTTCATTGTGTGAAGTCTCCGTTTCACGTTCAGGTCCATGGATTGGTCGCCAACAGGAGCCAATCTCATGGCACGTACCTCCTAAGTGGACGTTCTGATTGGTTGGCACTCACGATGCAGGAGTTACAGTGAACATAACATTCAGATGTTATTGCTAGTAGCAACAAACAATAAGTCTTAAATTAAATTTCAGGCTTTTTTTTTTTCTCAGTTACCATAGCAATGGAGGCGGATTGCTCAGGCTTGACATTAACTTGTGTTACTGTGAAAATTGGTACAAAAATTTGGACTTAACAAAGGGTGATCGATGAACGCCTTCGCTCTCGATTACCAAACGACAGCGTTGCTTCCGAAGCACGTGGGCCTCAGCCGTTTTTTTTACATTACATCCGTTTTTTTAGTAAGTCTAGTAAAAGACGTGACGAAACTACACCAGAAGAGGTCATTCATTTTAGGTTATTACAGACAGACTGTAGGTCTGTAATTCTGCAAAAAGTGACAATCCTCACTCGGCCAGTTTCCGTTGTTTTGATGAGGTTAGTCATTCCGGGGTCACCGTGATGATGAATTTGTGAACGTGCTTCTCAGTTTGCAGAAGAGCAAACAACTACTTATCTTGATGTGACTGTTCCAAGTCGATTACCAAATACTCACACAGAACATCCGTCGGAGCATTGTTTGTCTTGTTGCCAACATCTGCATCAGCTGTCGTGTTCTCCAAACGCTTTCCTGCCCAGCAATTTGCACCAACTGTGGTGGAAATTATGTTTAAACTAATTTCGGTGTCAGCAAAAATAGGGACGTTACAATCCAAAAGTGGTTCAGCAACATGCTCTGACCCGTCAGGACAAAAACCATAAAACCAAGAGTGTTGAAAGTTCTCTGTAGCCGCCACAAAATGATCCAAACACAACATGCGGTTATTTCCAGAAACATACAACATTATATATGTACATGAAAAAACAGCAGAGAAGCAATGTAGAATTTTAACCGGTGGTTCTGGGTGGGTCATTTTTTAACTTAAAAAAAAAAAAAAAAAAATCTGCATTTTGTAACACCGTTTTATTCTCCCTGCTTGTTCACATCTGTTTTCACAGATTGATATGCTATTGCTTGTACTCATGTTTACCCAGGTACACTCTGTGCTAACCGAATGTTTACCCTGTGATTACACGGGTCCAGGCGTTGTTTGCTCCAAGATAGCAGCCAGAATAGGTGACATCATCCCTGCTCCTGAAGCAACTGAATTAAATGAAAACATGAATACAAATGTAATTGTACTGAAAGACGCGTTACTTCCCCTTAGCTCAGGCTTTGCCAGGTACTGGCTTTTGACCTGTACACCTCCTCCTGGGAACCAAAACTCTCTTCCAGCCTCCCCGGTAATTACATGATATGCTGTTGACACTCCCCAGTTCCAGTTAAGCAGATCAGTGCAAACAGACCAAACCAGTAAGTGTGAGTGTCTGCATGTGTAACTGCGGCCTCAGCTGTAAATGGAAAGCCGTACAAATCAACTTGGTGGCTTGAGTTTAACCACCAACCGCACCGGTGTGACTCTGGGGTGATTGCACACTTCCATTAGAAATATTGTTCAACCCCTCTGTACAAATGATTGATTGGTTTTGATTGAAATTATGATGTTAATCTGAGACAAAGCATAGTCTAGCGGTATTCCTGCTATTCCTTCTACTCTTATCCAAGTTTTTTGCCATGCTAGCGGCTTTTGGGGCAATCAATCTTTGGACCTGGCTGACATTGGTCAACAACTTTACGTGCACTGTTGTGCAATTTTGTGGAGACATTCATAGTCTCCGGAGGATGAAGCCTACTGGCTTTGGTCTTTTCCTGACTTTTTGTCAAGCGGCAGGAGTAGGTCCAACTGAATCAATAAACAAGATGGTCCAGAAATTCTTTAAAAACATTCAATGTCTGCACAGCATGAACCCGTCTTTAGTGAGTTTTTTTCGTTTCAGGCAATTTTTGAGCCAAGAGATAAAATGTAACACAGATTTTTGGGTTTAGCTCAAGGAGCTTGGCACTAGACTTTTTTTTTTTGTCTTGTTTAAGACTGAAATAAGGAAATACCCCTCAGACAGGCCTTTCTCTGGCGTGATACTGACTTACTCCTGTGACTCTGCGTCACGGCCCTTTTACCCGTTACCTTACCCTGCGGCCACATCCGGCCTGCCGGGGCGTCCGGTTTGGCGTACCGTCAGCGCCACCCCCTCGCCGGCCGCACCGTTTGCCGGTTAGACCGTCAGTTCCGCCACCCCGTCGACCGTAATGGTCTGGCCCGCGTTCAGTCTAAGTGGGCTGCATTTGGCCCGAACCGGAAATGAGTATGAGACACCTGCCCCAGATGTCTGAGGAAAAGGTAGGAATAACACCGTCCATCCGGCTCGGATAGGAATAAGTCATTGCTGGGTTTGAGTGGCGTCATCGACATGTGACGAAGCTCGCTGAGACTTTGCCACATGCATTTTACTGACAATATTGACAACTTATTCAATTATCCTTGTCCCATACACCCTGGACACAACCTGTTTATCGAGCCGTCATCTGTAACACCACTAACAAAGACTGTATAGTTGTTAAATGTTTAAACCTACACCGGTTTTTCCTTTTTTAGTGATGTCTTTTATCTTTTACATTTTTCTTGTTTTATTTGTAAAAAGAAACCGTATGCACAGAATGTGGCGAGCAAAGGTAAATGAATACGCCAGTGAAGCTGATTCTAACTGATCGTCACTCGTTGGGGATAAGAAAAGCGATCAGAGGCGGTTTATTCAAAGTTTTTCTGCCTGTCGTTGATCTGATTTATATTTCAGAGTTAACCCCACCTAAGTGGTGATACCCTGAGGTGGTTTGGGTTATGTGATTGCCGGCTGTGTAAAATCGACTTGGGTTTAAATTTTTCTTCTCATGTTGTGTGCAGGTACATGGGCATCGGCCTGTCTGCTCAGGGAGTCAACATGAACAGGCTGCCTGGTGAGTAACATGTGCATGATGTCACCATAACATAACCGGCGTGGAGATGGATAGATTATTATTACTAATAAGTCCTTGTTATATTTGTAACAAAGCTGACACTACTTTAAGGATGTTACAGTGGGGAAAAAAGGGTAGATGTGTAATATAAATTAATGAAAGGATTGTGAACCTCAACTTTCTTAATTCGTTATTGGCCAAACGTTTCGAGCCATTTGACCCCATCGGCAAATATTAGAATCAAGCATTGGTAGTTCTGTGTGGTGGTTGGTTTACTTGAGCCTTTATGTGTGTCGTGTCCTTAAATGAACTCTCCGGACGAACAAAGGACATGTTTGATCAAAAAGTTACAATCAAAAGTATTTAATAAAGCCGAAGGCGTGGAAAAAGTCTCAGCCGAGAATTTGCCGGCTTCTGCAATCCACGCGCCACCGAGTAGTTCAATGACTACATACTTTGTCTCCTGCTTCCAACAACAAACCTCAAACAGGCCAGATTCAGGTATACATACAGATCAGAAGAAAACAAAGAACGTCTTCTGGTGCGTTCCATGTAACTAGTCATTTTGACACCTTTACTGATTATGGACACTGCATGGTGCTTTCAATGTTACCTTAGATTTTGAATGTCTCTCTGCCAATGGACATGGCGGTGCCATCAAGTATTACATTGCATGCATTTCTTTTTTAATTACATTGTTTCAAATCCTTAGCTGTACACTGATATTTCATTTTATTAATTGGAGTAAAAAAAATTTTTTTAAAGTGTCTCGCGCAAGATATTTGCTCGCTCGCGAGGTTAGTCTCTGCTCGCGCTCGAAGGTGTTTTTCTTTTTGACAGTAAGGGGGTGGAGCCAGTCGCCATGGTCTCTACACCTGATTGGTTACAAACCCCGTCTTTGGATTGGCTGGAGTGATGCATTCACACAACTATAGAATCCCATTTCCGCACTAAAGAAAGGGGATAGAAAGTCGAAATTATGAGATAAAACGTTGTCAAAAAACAAACGCCCCCCTTCGGTAATCGTAGTGGACCGTAGATGACAACCAGCTACAACCATCATTTACCATCATTACCGGCACATTAAGAGCAATGCGTCCAGCTCGCAGACCGGTCCGTCAGCCTGAATCTGAATATCTAATAACTTTACCCAACTATGGAGGAGCCTGCGCATATCTTACCTCATTTTTCCATTTTCCAAAAAGTCGATCTGTATTGAAAGTTTGCAAGATATTCACAGATTTGGACTTTTTTCCGGTATTTTCCAAATACGGACCGGTCTGAGACTAAGAGCAGCCTTTTCTTCATTTAAAAGAAAAATGAATCTGTTTAATATTTTTTTTACATAGGCTACTTTCATATTGTGTTGAAATGCAAGCTGCATTGGTTCTTGCACTGTTGATAGAAAATCATATTTGTGACAGATTTTTTTTTTCTCTTTATAAAAAAAATAGAGAAGGTAATTCATCTGTTGATTTTCTTTAATTATCAAATAAAGTAGGAAGTGATTAGCAACCTCTGAGTAGCAAACTCAGATTTGAGAAAATTTAGAAAATCGAGATGCATCAATAAGTTTTATCAGTTTAGAATCGATAATCGGTTTGGAATCGAATCGTTGACCTCTGAATCGGAATCGAATCGCGAGGTGCCAAGAGATTCCCACCCATGTTGTGGACGGATGATGTCTCCGTGTGTGAAGGCAAGATGCAGATGTGGATGAAAGGGATGAGGAGAAGTGACAAGAAGCGGATTTTGCAGACAAGTTAATGTAGCTGGAGAAGTGTTGACATGTCTGAGATGTGGGGATGAACGCAGGAGGAGAAGAGGACGTGTGGCGTTGCCATAGTGATTGGATGTGGCTGTGGATTCCTCTGTCAGCTGCAGGGAGAACATGTCTGGGCATGTCACCGAGCAGTCCTGGGCATCACTTACAGAGTGATGTTGATTTAGGCTTCCAGCCTGAACTCCGACCGCTCTATGTCAAACACTGCTTCTTCTTGAATTGATGCATTGCTTACACCAAATTATATGAATTTAATATGCATTTATATGTATATACAGGATGTTTGTGTCTTATCACAATACAACATGCTCCTACTCCAAACTTGTCAAAACTGAACTTAGTCAGCGCTCCCTGGTGTGTGCTACCGACACACCCTGTATTTCAACTACCTTCCATTTGTGTCATTTAGTAACTGACGGAGCGCAAAGAGCAAAAAAAAGTCTGCTTTTATTCACCCAGGCAACCCTGTACGTATCTCTAAGTATCTGATAACAAGGTTGCTTATTTTTCCTTACTTTTCTTACTTAACGTACGTGTCTAACTCAAGTCGCGTGTATGCGTTATGTCACAAAAGGGACATTTTAAAGAACACACCACCATCGTTTCCTCTGTGTGCCCAAGTACTTTTGTTTCTGAGCTGGGAGTGGGAATGTGGTGACGCAGCTTCTATCCTTAACATCACATGCCGAGCGCTTCACTGATCCTATACATACGACCCTTTTCGAGGGACTTTGTGTGAATGAAGTTAAACTCAGACCACTGCCAAACAGTCCACTGGTCGCATCCAGAGAACAAAGGTGCTGCTATAAAGATTTTAAAAGAAAAAGAAAACCACCCAAGCCTCTTTCAACTCATACAAACGTGCTTTGTGTGGGGGCCCGTGACTGTCTGCGTTATCGTTTTGTTGGAAAATCGCTTAGAGACATTCACATGGCCGCGTCGTTTATTGCAGCAAGTTTAAAATGGATTTGGAAAAACACACTCTCTCTCACACACACACACACATACGGGGACACACGTGAGCGGTTTAGCGATCCCTGATGACACGGGAGGAAGCCCAGTGGTCCCTGGAGCCTGAACGAAAAGCCTCTCCAAGCCAGTCGGATCACTGCTCTATTCTGACCAATCGTGTTCTGGGGCCTGTTTGACCTGCTCGTAATAGATGAGATCGGTCCAGTGGCCCTCGTTTGTGGAATGCCGTGGGCACCAGTTCGGCAGACTGAGAATCCACACTCTTTAACACACACACACACACACACACACACACACAGGTCAATCATACTTGACACATTGAATAATGAACAAAGAGTGCTCTCCAAATGTGCTCCCTCAGTAGTTCTAAAAATGTCTGATTGCTATAGGTTTGTGATACAGATGGTCGGTGGCAGTGGTAGACAGATTACTGTGGATTGCCTTAGCTCTGACTAAATCGCTGCGTTTGTGTGCCTGTGTTTGTGTTCTAACTCTGCGGAATTATTTCTGTGTGTGTTTGTGTCCGGGATGGACTGATCTCGTCTTTTTTTTAATATATATATATATATATATATATATATAATAAACAAACCAACAAATGAATTAATGTCACATTTTGATATCCATTAATTGCAATTAAAGTCAACTTTTAAGATTTATATTTCTTATAATAAAACTAACGAGTAATCACTTAAGAACCCCTTTTGCTTCCAGAACTGCCTTAATTCTTTATGGCATACTGCCAAGAAGGTGTTGGAAACATTCCTCACAGATTTTGACATGATCACCCAGTTGCTGCATGTTTGCATGGAGGCCCGTGTACAGGGAACTCATTGTCATCTTACAGAAACCAGTTTGAGATGATCTGCGCTTTGTGACACTGCTAGAAGTAGCCATCAGACCATTGTTCACTGTGGTCACAAACGGCCGGAGTGTGGACGACTTTGGCGTACCGTCAGTGCCACCCCCTCGCCGGCCGTACCGTTTGCCCCCCCCCCCGTGCTGTGCCTTCATAGATGGTAGTGCTGAGCGGTATGGCCCTAAATCCATATCGCTGTATTTAGAAATATTCTGACGTTAATTGACTCGAAAAGGACCGCCCGCTACCTCGACGGCTGTCCGCTCTGGGTGGCGTGTTAGCTCGTTAGCTTGTTAGCCTGCTTGTTATGGCTGCTAGAGGCTCGACAGACTTGCAAAAAATCGTTTTCTGATCTAACTACGTTGGATTTTCCAAAACCCAAAAATAAATGTACAATTGTTGGTGTTACAAATTGTTTATGTGTCACAAGCTGTGGTGATTTAACCTGTTAAAGAGGTGTAACCATGGTTATACCAGGTATAACCATGACTCAATCTCAACACAAGTAAGACAAGTTAGCTCCGACCGCTCGGCTCTCCTCGATGACGTGTGAAAATAAATTCACCTGCCAAAGAGCACATACGGAAATCTTATACCGTTTGAACCGGTGTACTGCCCAGCCTTAATAGATAGTATTCTGCATCTCTTGGTTGTAACGTTAATGTTGCCTTTTTATCATCTCAAACCTGCCTGCTCAATCTCCTCTGACCTCTCACATCAACAATGCATTTTCGCTCACTAGATGTTTTTTTTATTTTTCAGGCCATCCTCTTTTAAACCCTAGAGATGGTTGCGGTTCAAAATCCCAGTAGGTGAGCAGTTTGTGCCCGTCTGGCACCAACAACCACAGCGCGTTCAAAGTCACTTAAATCCTTTTTCTTCCCCATCCGGATGCTCGGTTTGAACTTCAGCGAGTCGTCTTGGCTACGAGCTGCGACCATGTGATGTCATTGGCTGATTAGGAATTTGTGTTAACAAGCAATTAAACAGCTGTGCCAAATAAAGTGGCCAATGAGTGTATATATATATGTGTGTGTGTGTGTGACCTTATATTTCTATATGTTTGTGTGTATCCCTAACAGTATAACGTTCTCCACTGCTGACCTCTGTGTCTGATCCTGCTGTGGAGGCCTGCCCATTTCATTAGCATGTTGGACCAGTGAGCCCGGCTTTAGAGGCAATATCCGTGTCAGCAGATTAATCTAATAGCTCACCACAAACACACACACACTCGCACACACATAATGCATGGAGAGACAGCACAGTAGACGCTCAAGTTCAAAAGGAGGCGCCACATGACACGGAAACGGGTCCCCACATTTAGGCCTCAGGTTAATACTTATCACATGCTCGCATACGAGTGTGCATCTCATATCGCGGCTGGACCACGACCTACTTTTGCTAACCCCGCTTTGCGTTTTTGGCAACGGCGGGCGGCCTGGGATTTGAGGGGAGGGACCACGCCGGGGCAGCAGCGAGCTGAGACTCTGTGTGACTCGGAGTCCCGCCTCATTGTCAGCGCTTTGTGGATCCAGAATGGATGTTCTTACATCCATCCTTTGGTTTCTGTTGTGTTGCATTCAAAGAGGGATTAAAGTGATTTCTGCTTATGCTTGTGTTTCGTCTTCAGGGGGACATACAGAGATGTGTCTGCTGTCAGTGTAGCTCCGTTGGACAGATACGTGTATTCATATTTGGGGCATTTGAGTTGAAACTACACATTTGCTCGTGTTGTGACTACTGGGCCGTCTTCTTTTTTCCTCAGAGGTTCTTTTATCAGTGAGAAAACATGGTTAATGTTAAGTACACAGATATAAAATCAGAGCAGTGAATGTACTTATGAGAGCTCCCTCACGTTTGATAACTCAAATAGCAGTGGTTTCTTTTAATGCAATGTTTTGGTGATTTTTAAAGTTTCCCTTCAAATCCTAAAGGAGTATATGATGTTGGACTTAATATATTGGTGTAATATGGGGGATTAGGGTGAAAGGGCAAGCCTGGCTCGCTTAGTGACACCTCTAAGGAACATGTTATACTGTAGCTTGTTTGAAATTACAATTAAATTATTTCTGTTCCTGACTTTAATAATGGATACATCAACTCTGTAGGCCTGTATACAAATTGTTTAAATGGTGCAACCTTTGAACAGTGTTTTCTTCCCTAATGTCTCTTTTCTGTGAGACGTCTTCAAGTGAAACTAGAAGAAAACTAGGATTATTCCCATCATTTGTCCTGTGAATCTCACAGCTCTGCTCAGGCAAAACTAAACTTACAAACACACTTTTTTCTAAATGAAGTCTTGTACCTTTTTGAGTGACAAAAGCCTGCCGCTTGTATTTTTACAGATATTTAATTGCCAAAAAGCATTGATCTCGCTAGCAACTGGTTTTAGTGTCTTTTTTTTTAAGAAAGGCAATTCTACTTGCTGCAGTAGGAAAAGCACAGATGTCAATAATAAAACAAATTATTAAATTTTCCATTGTTGATGTTAGTAGATGGCGCTATTGTTAGACACACGAGGGCCTCCACTACAAGGACAAGTAAAAATGTCTGCTTTAAAAAATACCCTTCCCTCATAGTCTTGTTTTTAATTCGTACCAAAAGAACTCCTTTATTTCCAGATAAACTCCTTGAAAACTAAGCGAAACGCTTAGTCTGCTTGAATAAATACAGCTCAGTTACAGGCGTCGACAACAATTCATGACCTCCTCCTTCTCCTGTTGGCAGTGACTCACCAGCTTGTTTGCATAGAAGCGATCCGCCTGCTGGTCACCAATGGCACTGCTGTGTGTGTGTGTGTGTGTGTGTGTGTGTGTGTGTGTGTGTGTGTGTGTGTGTGTGTGTGTGTGTGTGTGTGTGTGTGTGTGTGTGTGTGTGTGTGTGTGTGTGTGTGTGTGTGTGTGTGTGTGTGTGTGTGTGTGTGTGTGTGTTTTCTCCCTCTGGGACGCCCTGCAGGCAACGGCAGTCGATGAGTAACTGTCTCCCCTCCTTCAGCAGCAACTTCCGCCTCAGATGCTGCGCTGGTTCTTAGAAGCTGTGTTCATGGCGAGCAGCTCTCACTCGATGTCTGAAATAGGGGGGCAGACTAATGCTGTGAAGCAACACGCTGAACTCCTGCACCTCTGTTGTCAGTCACAGGGGCTCGGCCTTCATTTGCAATTTCTTCGAGTGTAAAAGAAGGAAACTCACCCTGCTCACTGTTTCAGGATGGGACAAGCACTCGTACGGCTACCACGGAGACGACGGCCACTCCTTCTGCTCCTCCGGGACCGGCCAGCCGTACGGCCCGACCTTCACCACGGGGGACGTGATCGGCTGCTGCGTTAACCTCATCAACAACACTTGCTTTTACACCAAAAACGGCATCAGTTTAGGTCGGCGCAACACGTGGTCTCCCTGGACATGAATTGATTACAGTTGTGTGACAGATACAGTAGCGTTGTGTCTGCTACAGCTTCATCTATAGCTGGAAATCCTCATGTTTCACTTAATAACCGTTTGTCCTGTTGTCCCTCAGGTGTAGCATTTACAGACCTCCCTGTAAGTATCATCATATCTTCATCTCAGAAGTATGCAAATTTAACTTTCTTTTTCTCAGTTCAGAGTTTTGATTGTGTAGCATTCGGCAGCCATGAAACCACTCAAATCTGTACCGGTTTGCTTCTGGAGAAAAAGCCAAAATATGAATTCAGCTATATTAGTTTTCTGCACTTTGAGCTAATGATTATTGTTGTTATTAATATTATTCTAGATTAAACACAAGTGTAGCTGTAGAGACAATGACAATACATGGATGGTTTCCATATTCTACATGCGTGTCCGCGACTAATTGCAGCTTGTGTTTGCAGTCGGTTTGGTAACCAACCTTTTCGTGTCCAGTGGAAGAAAGAAAACATTGTAAAGCCCAAACATCCACTTAAACAGTTTACCGGGCAAATGTTCTATTCTTAAAAAAAAAACAAGAACTCAAAATCACAGTTGTCGACCTAACCAGCATTTATGGTTTCATAGCCTGTCGGTGTTTTTTGTTCATTCTAAAATAGTCCATCTAAAACAGTATGTACTCACTGACCGCAGCCTAACAATAATCACACTTGAAAGAAAGTTGTGAGGCTTAGGCACAAAGTTCATTTTTGCATTTCAAGTATCCTTTAAATGGCATGTTTTTATATTTTGCGGATCATTTGCAAGCGTCCCACTTCATGTAAGCTAACGAAACTTAGCTATCTCATAATAACCAGACACGCACTCTTTGTACACCCTCTACCAGCCCAACTTGTACCCCACCGTGGGGCTGCAAACTCCGGGAGAGATCGTAGACGCCAACTTTGGCCAGCAGCCGTTTGTCTTCGACATCGAGGACTACATGAGCGAATGGCGAGCAAAGATCCACGGCATGATCGCCCGCTTCCCCATCGGAGAGCGGCTGGGCGAGTGGCAGGCTGTCCTGCAGAAGTAAGCTTTAGTCACCGCCGCTCGCTGAACACACACACACACACACACACACACACATCCGTGTTGCTGTTGAGTGAGTTTATCTGAAAGCCTTTGGGATGACGTCTCAGAGCAGCTGTTCCAAAGAGCTCCGCTCCTGTCAAAAATCTATTAAGAAAGCGTCGCTGTTGCGCTGGGTGACACATTCCCTCATTACCTTGAAGATTGGCACCGTAATTTATTTTGATTAAATCCCACTTACACCTTCCTGTTGCTGTAAATACTTATCAGATCTCCAAAATTTGGATTAATCCACTGCGGAAAATACTCCCCAACAACTGCACCATTTACCAATGTGGGAGTGAGGTTTGCTGAACTGTGCTTGGACATTTCAATCAATGTTTAAGGATGAAACTCTTCGTCTGTGGGCTTTAAAAAAAAAATAATGCTAATAAGAAAATTAGCATTGTTTGTCGCCAATAGGAACCAGTGTGCTCGGGGCCGAAAGCCACAGTCAGGAAGCCTTAGAGACGCACTTACTCACCGTTGATGGGATCAACAACAACAACATGAATATAGAACACGCAAACTCATCCTCTTTAAGAAATTCAACCTTTAACCATTTGCCTTCCGTTATGTTCCGTCTCCAGTATGGTGTCTAGCTACCTGGTGCATCATGGGTACTGTGCCACCGCTACAGCCTTCGCCAGAGCCACAGAGACTCTGATACAAGAGGACCAGACGTCCATAAAGAACAGACAAAGTGAGTGAACCAACCGACCACGTCCGTATTGTGACGTCACTCAACGTGCCCCGAGCAGCTGCCCGCCTTTACAACTTTTCTTAGTCAAATATTACATTTCCACTATCCATATATCTGACTTGCCCCACATTTTTTTTAATATCCCGTCATTTTAAAAATGAATTCTCTCAGTGTTTGATGACTCGGTGGCCTCTGCTGTCTGAGTCGGTTCCTCTTGATCATGTCGCCGTGAATAGCCCCGTGTCTCTTCGGTCCGATAGGAATACAGAAGCTGGTGCTGGCAGGACGGGTGGGCGAAGCCATAGAGGCCACTCAGCAGCTTTACCCCACCCTCTTAGAACACAACCCCAACCTACTCTTCATGTTGAAGTAAGTCAGTGTTTGGAGATGGAGGGCAGGGTGGAGGTGCTGTATGAAACCGTGAGGCCGAGCGTTGATCGTTTCCCTTTGAGAAACTCGCTACCTCTCGCTTTTGATCATTTATTTGAATCCGCCATTGTGACGTCAGTGTGCCTCTCCTCCTTTTTTTCTTCTTTTTTTTTTTTAGGTGTCGTCAGTTCGTGGAGATGGTGAACGGCACAGACAGCGAGGTCTGCTGCTTGAGCATTCGCTCCCCCAAGTCACAGGACAGTTACCCGGGCTCCCCCAGCCTCACCCCCCGCCACGCAGCCGGCAACACGCACCTGCACGCCGCAGGTACACATGCTCACCGCCGCTACGCCTCTGGTCTATTTTTAAGACCAACAGATCGACAACGATGGAAACAACGTGTTCTTTTTTCAAAAAAATCCGACTTGCAGGAGCCGACAGCCCGACCTGCAGCAACGGCGTGACCCCCCCCTCCAAGTCAAAGAGCCACGGCTCCACCGGCGGCGTCAAATACGCCAGCGTGTCGTCCTCCTCCGCCTCTGCCTCCTCCTCCACCTCCTCCTCCCCGTCCTCCGTCAACTACTCAGAGTCCAACTCCTCCGACTCCACGAAGAGCCAACCACACAGCGCCAACAGCACCCAGGAAACCAGGTAGGGAGCGGCGGAGCCCACAGCGGACATGCAACACGAGTGGAGCATAAAGCAATGGATCATTGAAGGAGTCACAGACACCTCCAGTCTGTGTGCTCGGTCGGGTCGTCTTGCTGATTTGAAATGGGTGGGGCGCGGTTGATAATATGTGACATCGCATCGTTTTCGGCAAGCCAATGTTCACCCACGTTCGTCAACCTGGGGCACTTTGCGTACAAAGTGACTAGGCCCACGAAGAGCTGTGCCTCGGTTGACAATCCAAAATTGTGTGTGCGTGTTTAGCGACAGTGAGATGGAGGTTGAAGCAGAGCACTATACCAATGGCGTCGTCGAGGGCTCCTCGGCGCGAATCATGAACGGCACGTACAAACACGAAGAAATCCTTCAACCTGATGACAACAGCATTGGCAACGGGGTCACAGGTAAATTCGCACACACACACACACACATCTACACTCTGCATGTAGCATATTTGCAGAATCATGAATATTTGATGTTGTTTTTCTCCTTTCACCTCTTGTTTCACTCATTATTTTCCCTCCTTTTGAAGAACCTTTGTGTGCTTTGCTGTGTACCCTCCTTTTTAAAATGTTCCGCGTGTCTATTTTAACTGCGCGTGTCTGTTGCCTGCAGATGAGAGTTGCAGTAATGGCAGACAGCTGTGTGGAGGGAACCAGGCAGCCACAGAGAGGATGATCCAGTTTGGACGGGAGCTGCAGATGCTCAATGAACAGCTGTGCCGCGAGTACGGCAAGAACGCCACGCACAAGAAGATGTTACAGGTATACACACACATATAGAGAGAGGGGAGTGTGTGTAAAAATAAAGTAGACCTTGACCCAAACAACAGCATCTGTATTGATATGGGCCGTGTGTGTCTGTCCACCCTGTATGTGTAGGATGCATTCAGCCTGCTGGCGTACTCGGACCCGTGGAACTGCCCCGTTGGCCAGCAGCTAGACCCGACCCAGAGAGAATCCCTCTGCTCCGCACTCAACAGCGCCATACTGGGTAAAGAGCAAACGCCATTCAAACTGTGACTCTCGTGTGGCTCCCTTGCCTGACCGCGTTTTCCCCACTCCAGAGTCCCAAAATCTGCCCAAGCAGCCTCCGCTGATGTTAGCGCTCGGCCAGGCCACTGAGTGTGTTCAGCTCATGGCCCGGGTCCGGTCCGGCTCCTGCTCCTTCGCCAGAGTAGACAACTTTTTGCACTAGCCCAGGTCCAGGTGAGTGAGTTAATGTGTTGTAAAGTAATTGAGCTTTCAGCCTTCAGACCAGGCGCCCTGCTGCCTGCGTTCTCCCCCCCCCCCACCCCCCCCTTGGTGTGGGGATTCACAAAGGGGGACAAAATAACTGACTGTCCCCATATGACCGTTTTAAAAAAAGACCTTTTGGATTACGTTTAAATGAATCCTTTCACTAAAACTGAAACGGAACCTGGAAGTTAGCCCCCTGGATCAGTAATTAGCTATTTGCTTCTTGGGCAATTTTCCAGCAAACCCAACAGGCTGTTCATCTGCAGTAACAACCATCACGTGTTACTTATTACTACGTATTCATTTAATGACGCAGGACAGGACAGATAAAGGATTTCGTTGTAGGTGTATTTGCTGTTGCTTGGGTCGCAGAGAGGGGGATCCCAAATGTTTCCTCCAGTTGTTTTTTGGGAAGTGAAACAATAACGCTTGATCTTCCTCATGATAGTCCTCAGTAAACACTGCTCTTAGATTCTTTAAAGAAACGAAATCCCTTTTATTTTTGTAGTTGCTGTAGCTTGTGTTCACAGCCTGGCTACGTATCCACAAGTGTCTCCATGTGGCTAAAAAAAACTAGGTTCACGTTACCTGAATCTCTACTGCAGACGTGACCTCAATTAAGAAAATACGATCTACAATGAAATATATCAGTGTCCTGTTAGTATTAAATGTTATTTTGTATAAATGACCACTCTCCATTCATTATGTTCCTACAAGGAGTTACATTTATGATAAAATATTTAGTTGGCACATTTTACACTGGTCATATGGTGCATGAGGTAAAGGAACTACAATTACTAACTTGAAATGAAAATACCAAAACATCACATCACCACTGTGCAGCAATATGACCGCAAGCTGTTTGTAATCATGCTACATTCCTTCATTTCCTTGCTTAGATGACTACCCGTCTCTCCACAGGTTAATGTTAAGTGGCACCGAGAGAAGACATGTCCAGCAGATAGTTGTCATGGCGACAGAGGAAAGAGCATGCGTGTGATTGGTGTGTTTGGCTGTCCATCAGACCGAACAAGTGGCACAGCCAGAGGAGGAGAGCAGCAGAGAAGAGGGCTTCCTTTTTAATTTAGTATTATCAAACAAAGAAATGTGTGACACTATTTAAGATCATTTATTATTATTCTGTTTATCTAGTCATTTTTATAGTTCTTTATTTTTTTGTCAGTTTGTTACAAACAAATTGTGAACGCCCTTTTTATTTTCTCTTCTATTTTTACATGGATGGATTTTAATTTCCTGCGATCAGTATTTTACTCGCGTTGATGTTCACCATATCACCGGCATCAATACCATCACCAAGCTACCACCGTGACCCACAAGACTGTAGGTCAGCTTTGCAAACCCCCGAGACATATTAACATCGTCTTAGATAAGATGCAAACGACAAAGATTTGTTTATCCTCCTAAAGTACTCAGTGCATTCGTGTCTTGAAATAAATTGAACCGGGCCGAGCAAACTGGCTCAGCATGAACAAAAAAACACCATTAGTGGTTTGGAGCAGATCAGGAGGTCCAGTCAAGCCTGATTCCGTACAATAATGAACACTGCTGCTGATATTAAACTAATGAATGGATTTATGTGAGAGAAAAAAATAAATCCACATACTGCTTTTCTATTGGTCACAGTAAAAAAACATCTTTGTAAGAAAACATAATTGAAGGGCCTCTGTAGTAACCAGGGGTTGATGGATGAAGAAACCGTTTACCCCTAAAGTCTAAATGATATACTTTTCTTCTTACCGACAGTGCTGTTAGTTAATCTGGTTTTAGTTGCTGAGTGTTTGATATATCGGCCTTCATGATCTTGTGGTTTCGCATAAATAGAATGGGACTTGATGACACTTTCTTTTTTTCAGCCAAAACTATACCCCCCAAACGCAAGTTTTTTTTTTTTTAGACCAGTGCTGTATAGTCCCATTATAGGGGGGAGAATGTGGACATCTCTACTGCAACTATCTCCAATCCTCAGCAACTAACACCAAAACAACCTAGACTAATAAATAGCCTGACAGGTAATGTGAAACATATGTGTCTCTGATGTGGGGGGAGAATTTTCCCTTTTTAAATTGGAAAATAAAGGTGCCGGAACCTTAGTTTTACTGTAACGACCGATCCGCACCAGCTGCATTTAGAACACCTGTTATTTCGGTTGCCAGAGTAAAGAAAATCTGTACCAAAGGCAGACTAACAAGCGCAGCTTGTGGACTGAAGTCGCTCCTGAGAATTTCACTACCACAGTTTCCTTTTTTTTTTCTTTTTTTTTTTCATTACCCACAGCCAGACTTGTCCTTTCCATGGACAATTAGAATTTCAAAGAAACGAATGGAATTATTTGACGATGCGAAGCGTTTTTTATTTTATGGTGAGTGATAATTGGCTTAGTTTTTCTTTCACTTGTGGCGCTTGATGTCAAACCCCTCTCAGGTTGTGAAAACCACCTGTGCGTAATGGAAGAAGGTGTTGTTTATTCCACTCAGATCCCTCTTGTTTTTTAACATCCATAAACTTGACTTGATTATTGTGTAGCCCCACTTTGTAAGTTTGTCCAGGAGTGTCTTTCAGTATGTCCAAAACAAAGATGTAAAAACCCAATTTTTCTATTGACCCAGGTTCGCTGCTGACCACTATGAGATTTAACCACATTGCTCCTGATTTGGGGTCTGACCAATGACAGAAAAACGTCCCAACTATCACTACTAGGCCTTCGACAGCATGAAATCACAGCTACAGCCTCCTTTGTCAACCACTACTGGTTGTCAACCCCAAATTGTCTGATATTAAATGAATAAATATGACTATGAAATAAATATATGAATAAAGCAATGCATTGTGAAGTAATTAAATTACATATGGTGGTCTATTCAAAAGGCCCCCTTTCAAATGTCTTCTCCCCCAGTGCCCCCTGTTCAACAACTGCTATCAAAATGTAGGCAGCTAGCTCCCAGTAGAGAAGTTACTCGCTAGCAGCTAACCAACCAGCTAGTTAGTCATTTTGAATCAACCAATTAGCTGTTGCTGCTCATAAACACAGTCAATGGGAAGCGAGCTTTGTTTTGATCTAGCTTAGCAAGACTTTATCACATATGCTACCTACTAACCTAATGCTAACCTAGCCAGCAGAGCAGCTAGGTTAGCTTACGGGGGTTAGGGATTTTATTGCGCAGCTCCAAAGCAAAGAGCGGGTGTTCGCGGCTATCATTAGTTAATTCAGAGTTACTTATTCACTTATTGTTCCTCAGTGCGCAGAAACATTTAAGAGGTCTTAGTTAGCAACATCCCGTTGGGCTGAGTTGGGTTTTGGAAAATGTATTGAATTTTTACAGTTTATTGGCTCTTATATGTTCATTAGATTATTTAGTTCATTATATTGTGGTTATTTATTAAGTATTTGAGTTTAATATTGAGTTAATGATTTTGACATGACAACTTTCACAACTTTCTGTCTCTGTATTTAATCAGAGGATTGTTCTTTGCAAAGAGTAATCGCACTGTACTTCGCCCTAATCGTATAATTTGGATTTTGATTACAAAGACTTTTGTTTTGTTCCATCCCTTAACTTTCTGTGAAACATTGTGAACAACTTTTGTTTTTACACCAGATTTATTTTCTACCAGATAGCACTGATTTACTGTTATCGGACTCGTGGCCAGCTGTCACTTTCAGCTGCTTTGTTATGACCTGGCAAATATCTGGTGCAGTCAACATCAAGTGTAAAATTCCGTTTATAAGATCGTGTCCTTCTGATGTAGAGAAACATGGAATAATATGTGGGGGTTACTACAGGATATACGTATGTTCACACTTACCAAGCTGGTTTTTATGAAGACCCTCTGCTATAATAGGAACTATTTTATAATATCCACACACATAGCACACATTTGACAACATCTGCTTATTCAGCTGTGAAGGACTTCTGTTACACACACACACACACGCACACCTTTACATGGACGAACAACCTCTGTTGCACACCTGTAGGGAACAAGCCTCCCAGCTGTCCTTTGTGTTTGAGTCTGGGCTGCGTCTCAGCACTGTTACCACGCACCCTTCCTCTCACCCCTGCATAGACATAACCACTGATGTGATCAGCGTTTGTTTTAAGGAAAGGAGGGATTTGAGCGGCTTTCGGAAGTTGGCCCGGGGCCTCTTGAAGCCACATGGACTTCCCCCGAGAGGCCGGAGAAATGGATCGAGGCATCGCGGATGAGCTGTGCACAATTGACTTATCATTTTGATTTCATATTTTGACTTTTGAGTTTTAGCAAAAATTAAAATTGTGAATGAGTTACCCTCTACTTAGCATGACTTTTAAAACGATATTTAAAAAAAGGAAAACAAAAATGTATTGGAAACATGTTAAAGAAATATTGTATTCTGTTTAATTTTGACAGAATTATTTTTATTAAAATACATCCATAAGCATATAATTGATTTACTGTTTTTATTTGGTGTGGTTTTCTTTTCCTATAGATCCGAATGTGCTAAAAAGAACAACCCAACCTCTATTATTTTATACATCTCTCAATACATTCGCTACAGATGTGCAAGCATCAACAGCAGCACTCACTTTACACGATCGTAGCAGAACCCACTGAACGACTTGCTACAAAATGAGAATTGAACTTTAAAGGCTTTGTTGGTAATATTGGTGACTCGAGGCTAATGAATGTAGAAATCCTGATTGTTTTATTTTTAGCACCATAGTGTTCAGTCTTCAAAAGAAAGTGTTACTTCTGAATGTTCCTTTCAGTAAACTCCAGTCTTTTCATTATCATTAAACCAATTGTTATGTTTCATTTTATGTTTCATTTCATATCCATCGACAGACCACAATGAGTAGGTTTTTTTATGAGACGCGATTGAGAATCGTCCAAAGTGAAGTAAATGTATGGAGGGACATGGAAAGAAGTTGTTCAAAGAGTCTGCCTCAAAACCGCAGACATCTTGTTCCTCCAGATATTATTCCTCCAAAGGCACCACGTTCACAGCAGCTTGTTTTTTTTAGTGTAGGCATCATGCACAATATGTGATTTGTAATTGCGCATGTGTGTTTGTTACATCGTGGTTGGACAGCAGAGGGCAGAAGGATGTTGGGGAATACAACACCACCATTGCAGCGATATCCTCGGCCGAGGATGAACTCTGTTTTTCTTTTTACACCTTTTATGTCAGACATTTTAAATAAAGATTATACATGCAGTACTATATTGAGCTCATCCTAAGGATGGCCTCTTTATTACTGTATCAAGAGGAATCATTGCAAAAGCCCTAATTTGAAAAGTGCAATGTATATTTTGAAGGTGTTCATGTAAGAAATGTTTGATTAACAATATGTGAAAAAATGGTTTTGATATTAATCTTTGGTTGGAAACTAGAATATTTAATGACCATTTTTTTCGAAAGCTGAGATGTGCAGCTTATAAAACACTCACAAATTTCTTCTGGGAAGCATTAAAATCTCAGCTTTGAGTTTCAAGGTGAATGAAGAACCTTGATTTTCAAAATCTGCCCAATGTGAGGTTAGTGAAAATCAAACTATAAAAGTTTTTCATTCTTCTGATGAAAGCTCGAGACGCGGTGTCACCTCACTGCACAAATTGAATTTGTTTTTTTCCACCCCATCAGTCATGACTCCCACGAGCACATCTCTGAGATTCTTAGCATGTATCCACTTGTTTCATCGTAATTAGATTAGAGCGGTGGGTAAATCTCTTTAGACAGATGTTGCCATATGAATGCAGAATCTAACAGGGCAACATTTTCGTATCAGTAATTGCAGTTTCCGTTTGTAGTCTGAGCAGTATTGATCCGTCCCATATGAGCAAGCTTTGATTAGAATGCTCGTAAAGCGGCCGCGAGGAGAGAAAAGATGCGGGACGCAGCGGCCCGAAGTGGAACGCTATTGACCAACTGAGATTTAGCCTTTAACTCGCTTCCGTAGACGTCGTCTCACAACTCCCACATTCTTGAGTTGCACAAGGTCAGCTGGACTGTACGCAAAGAAACCGGATGTCATCATGATCCCCAAAATATTTTGGGTCAGGTGGTTCAGACATGTTCACTAATGAGAATACAGCAGTGGATAAAATATCTTCCGCTTCAGAGGACACGGACAAACAATGTTGTCCTACCGATATTGGGGTTGTAACGAGGATTCATCGTAGTAGGTTCTTGGTTCAAAGAGATTTCTAGGCCAACAGCCGTCGTTGGTCAATGTAACGTGAGTGTATTTCCAGAATGTCGTCTGTCAAGTATATGAATGTAGTTGTGGTAAAGCAGGAGGATGTATACTATTTATTTACTTCCCTACCGTTTCATCACCGTGGCTGATCTTGTTCAAGTATCTCGGGGGTCTCGTTCACGAGTGAGACAGATCGGGAGATTCACAGGCGAATCGGTGCAGCAGCAAAAGCACAGACGCCGTGCCGGACCGCTTTGGTGAAGGTCGGAAGGGCCCAACTGGTAGGAGACCCCGGGGATGACCAGGACGCGCCGGAGGGGTCATATCTCCCAGCTGGTCCGGGAGCCCCTCGGGACCCCTCAGGAGCTGGAAAATGTTGAAGGTGAGGGGGAGTCTGGGTCAACCTGCTGCCGCCGCAACACGAGCGGAGGAAAGCGGAAGGGTGGCTAATTGACTCTTGATGCTTAAAATGACTTTATTACAGAAGAGAAAAATGAGAACGCCCATCAAACGGAATCTCAGTTTTACAGCCCTCCTGCTGCTCCCCAGATAAACTGCTGCTTGTTTGTCTTGGCGTCTTGAAGCGGAGGTGCTGTTCTAGTTCTGACTACTGAATCCATGTTTATTATAAAACATGCCTGCCCTCTTTCTCTTCTGAAGCTGCGGGGATCTTGAAGTCTTTACCTGAGCGTCGATACCAAGCCGAGCTTCGTTTTTAAAAGAGAAAACAATTATTTTCTTGTCATCGAATAATTCAGGTGGAATTTGATAAAAGGGCAATCTTTATTGTCTGTACCCCCCCCCACCCTCCTGCCCGATGTGGGCAGTGCTATTCATATGGCTCCTTCCTTTTGAGAGCAAAATCAATGCAATACACATTCAAATGGATAAAAGGACTGTCATTCATCAACATCAATCTACAAGAAATCAATGCAGTAAGTGAATGTGTTTTTCACTGGACCTTAGGCTGTCTGTGGTCAAGGCTGGTAAACAAGGAGAGGAGTGGGTGCATGTGCTCAAAGGGGCACAGGGCTGTTTGTCCTTGTGCACATTAATAGAATGGAGCAGAAACACGTTCAAAAGCAACATTTTCTGTGGTTCTTTCAATTCCTTTCCGTCAGAATGAACCGTATCCGCACACCGAAAAATGGGAACATTTTAATGCTGTTATGATGTTTAGAGCTTTGTGGGAAAGTATATAAAATGATATAGGCCTGACACAATATACGTAATGACACATAATCCTGCAAATGTTTTCATCCTTGAAGATAGTTAGGTGCACTGGGTAACACTCAACGCTCAATTCAATCAAAGTGGACGTGGCCGCCATGACGTCATTGCTTTGTGGAATGCAGTTTCTCAGCCTTGAGTTTGAGGTTTTAAGCCGCGGCATCTTGTCTTCCAAGAGCATTTTTATCACTGTGGATGGGTGACCTAGGGGCCGCGTGTCAATCACAAGGTAGCCACGCCCTAAAGCGTGCCCTGCTTCATAACCTATTTTCCTCTAAATTGAGCATAACTCACTATATGAACCATTTGCTGTGTAGAATAAGACTCAACACAAGCATTTGAGATCATACTGATCTAATAAATCAAGTGATAAGTAGAGACAACCATACAATCTGACCTTTTTTACAGTATATTATTAACATTACTAAAATATTAGCATAGTGAATACTTTATATTGTGCATAATTATATATGTGTATATATATATATATTTCTATTTCTCTTTATTTCATTTAATGCAGGGTAGCCAGTAGCTTAGCCCACTAGACCAAGCAGCTGTACCAATGAGCACGGAGTGTGTATGTCTTCATACCCTCGGGTCATCTCCATGCTTCTGAAAGTCCAAACGAGGCAGGTCATCCGTATGCTCGTTTCACTAGAAATGCAACATGTGGACGACGTAATGTCAACGTGGTGACCTCTTCACATTCTGTTGATAAGGTCAATTCATTTTTCTGATTTGTAAACGAGAATTCTTCTCATATCTTACACATCGTACCTTTGAGCGGAAACAAAAGGCTCCGAACTGGATGCGTAGAAGAAGAAATCTTAGGAGTCAGTGGTTATAAGGGAACAACCATCACACACACACACACACACACACACACACACCGTCATCACTACCACACAGAGACACATGCTGTTCTTCCAGAAGTTACAGTTCAAACGCTCGCTTGACCATTTCACTCCTGCCATTGTTGAAACCCCTCTTTCTTGGGCGGACAGCGAGCCAATCCTGTAATCACGCTGGAGGTGAGGGCGGCGTGTCCGTCAGCCAATCGCTTCCCTCCATCGCATATGTCGACCTCAAAGCCCGCAGACATTCACGCGGCGCGGCTAGACCTCCGGCCTTCACTATCGGGATTGGAAAGTTCATGGTGGTTGCCATGTCACACGTTAGTCACCATGGCAACGTGCTACAGCGTTCTCAGAAGGGGACGGGAGGAGGGTTGTGTGTGTTTGTGTTTGTGTGTGTGTGTGTGTAGGGGGGGGGGGGGGTAGATAACGCAACACCCACTCTTGTTTCCCAATAGCTGTAATGCATATTCATGTTCACATGCGAGTCATTAGGGGATGCGTTTTATTAGTCCATCCATCCATCCATCCATCCTTTCATCCCTCCATCCATCCTTTCATCCCTCCATCCTTTTTGGCTTGACTAAATAGTAATTACTCTGAGGCCAGCTGAAGGATGCAGCACCCGCCTGCTCTCAGCTAGATTGTAATGGGTTCATAAGCGTTGCTGATTGAATTGATTGCCACAGTTGGAGTCTGGCTGACATGTACAATGGGGTAGAATATGCACATTAATCAGCTCACACCAACCGGTCACATGCGCTAAGTTTATTTCAGGTGCAGTTGAACATGTATACAGTAACAAATCGTCGGCAAGACATGGCCGCAAAGAAAGAGACTTTATTCACAAAACTGTTGGTTAAGCTTAGCATTTGCTGTGTAGTTGTCCACATATATTTGTACACAATAACATAAGCGTTGGCCATGTACAAGCACTCTGCAGGTCAAGGGTAAAGCTGGGTTGCACTAGAAATGTTTTTGAATCATTCTCTTCAATATCTTTCAGAATTATGTCATGCCTTTTCTTTCCTTTCATCTTTGTTCGGCATTATTCTGGAAATAGACTTCCAATGTGTTTTGGTGCAATTTGTTTTGAGCATATCTGGTTTCCAGTAACAAGTGGAGCTGATTATAATTCTGGCCGTATGGATGCTGGGGT